AAACCCCAAAACCCCAAAACCCCAAAACCCCAAAACCCCAAAACCCCATAAGTTTCAAAACTTGGAATACAAATAGTGGATGTGAAAGTGAGTGTCAAATGATAGTAAATAAATGAAGGTGATGCTTTATCTGTATAACATATTGCTGTCTGTATATAATAAACGTTACCAGTGATTTATTTATATTGTGAATATTTCTGATTTGTAAAAGGGACAAAAGAAGAGAGGGAGGACTTTGCAATGGAGAGAAGCTCTCAAATGCAGTATTTTACTCAGCCCTTTTCGACCTCTAGTTCGGCGGAGCTTCCTGGTTTAACTTTAAAGAGGAACCAGGCGAATTGCTCTCAATTTACGGTTTTGGGGTTTTCTTGACAGCGTTATAGCTGACGGATTTCCGCCGAACTATCCTTCATTTTCTACAGTCTCTTAAACTTTCCAAACTTTCCCGCTTAATTATTTATGGGTCAAAATTGAAGGAGCAATTAATATAAGTGAATGTCACAAGCTTTTGCTTGAATATTAGTTTGTTCAATGTATGCTCTGAAAGATTAATAGAGTTTAGAAATAGTATTAAGATTAGTGAGTTTAGGAAAGTTGATGAAACACTGCTAGGTGATCTTTGAAGGAATATTAAGGTTTTACTAATGAGGGAATGTTTTAATTTAATATGAGAAGTAATGTTATTAAATTTACTGATTTTATTCTAAAAATTTAATTAAAAAAAACAATTATAATGATGATAAACAATACTATGAAAGAGACAAGTAGTAATTAGAAGTCTTCAAGCAGTAATAACTTCTAAACTAATTCAATGCAAAATCTGCTAAAGTCTCACAGTGGTAATCGAAGTAAGATCTTGCTTTACCAAAAAGGCAATATGGGCTCGTTTAGATAGCATCAGGAGTCTTCAGCTGTTAGTTCAGTTTCTAATACAGCTTATGGCACTTTGTATCACGATTAGTTCAATAATAGGCTTCAGTCTCAGTATTTTAATCACTAAAATCATTAGAATAAAGACTAGAGTGCTTATTAAAATGGCAATGCTAATCTTCGAACTCCTTAAAAGCAAGGCTAAAGAAGCAAGAATCAGCTTGGCAACTACAAAAGAATATAAGAATTAGCTAAAGAAAAGCTGAATTCCTCGAACGATTAACAATAAAATAGCCACTATAATGGCTTAAGAGGAGATTCTGAACTACAATAAAGGAAATCATACAAAATTCTAAATAAGCCAACTACTGCCTAGATAGGGATTAGGAAACTAGAGCATGGAATGAGTGATTTTCAAGTTGGCGAGAAGGTAATTCAAAACACTTAGTATGCTAGCAACAATAATGTAAACAGATAGAGTCTACAAAGGCTAAATGATATTAAAGAAGAAGCAACTAATGCAAGGCCCAAGACTATGGGAGGCAGATTGGCTGGGCTTCCATCCAGGCAGAATTATCAATCATCTTAAGATAACAAAACAACTATGGCTTCTGATGGATTTATAGATCCAAGACTAGACATAAGGCAAAAGAAATAAAGGATTCAAAGTACTTTCTACGAAACTCTCAGACAAGGACAGCAAATGAATGTAAACAGTATTAATAAGCTAGATCAATCAGCTATAACCTTTTCAAGTAAAAAGAAATCTAACAACTTGAATCCAGACCTGCAAAATACTCTCAGCTAATTTCACCAAGGATAAAATGCTAACAACACTATGCAAAGCGACCTGAATACATATAATATTCAGCTTAATTAAGCCAGAATGGCATCTGGCTTGTCATTGAAATAAAATAACTTGAAGTATCATTTAATGAGATAACTACTACAAAAGAAAAATTTAGATGAAATAACCTAGCTTCAATTGAAGATGGCGGAATAGTATTAGATAACTTAGGAAGAAAGTCCAAGTAAGCCCATTCAATTGCCAGGCATGAAAAGAGATGTATCTCCTATCTCTAAAGGAAGACATAAGAGCATTAGCTCTAGTTCTTCTTCTTCCTCTCAATCAGAGGATGTGGAACCCTTTGTAGATTAGTCTTAATCTAGCCATGTGACTCCAGCATTGATCACATAGCAAACCAACAATTAGCCTTTATCTCAGACACCTTTGCCCTAGAATTAAATTAACTCTCACTATCATCATGGCTCTTAAGTTATTAGCAATGGGTAGCTTTTAAATTAGCTTCCAACTCATTCTCATAGTGCTTTGGGATAAATAGGTATTCATGGAAATGATTCCTCTACTGGAAATATGGTTCTGAATAGTTCCTTCAACATCAATATAATTAAGAATAACTTATCTAAAAAGACCAGCATGATATCGCATTATGATAGGACAAGTACTTAATTGAGAGGGATCAATGATTAGAGTATAATGTAATAATATCCTGACAAATCCCCTCAATAATAGGATTTATTAAGCAAGAAAAAAAGGACAAAGAGTGAATTCATGAAGTAGGCCCAAGCTAATGATCTTTCTTTGAATGTCAGATAGTATAACTACTGTGGTGTGCCTGATTTCTATCTCATTGATCAAAAGAATATTCCTGTACATTAAAGGAAAAAAAGACTTGAAACCTCAAAAAAAATATAAATTAACAAAGGATGTGGAGTATTTAATCATAGAAACAGAAAAGCTGATGCACTGATAGGCATTGCACATCCCAATAAAACTTAACTCAATCAATTTTCAAATCAGTCCTTTGAAGATGTGAGAATGAACGAATATGAATACCTAAGTGCATCTAATAATTCATAACTTGATAACTATCACAGACCTTAATATAATTTTGGACTTCATAAATCTTTTGAAAATAGATACAAAAATCAAATTTAGATGATGACAGAGAATTAAAGTGAAGATCCTAATTTTGGATATGGCTCACTTGAGAACAAAAAGGCTTAATTAAACGTAGAATTCAACCATAAAATGCAAGAGGAAATGAATGTTGAAAGACTCATGTTAAAGGATGAGTAAGAGAGAGTTGTCCTAAAATAAAAGAAGACTGAGTTAATTAAGGAGGAAATCAGAAAATCTAAGATGGATTGTCTTCCAAATAAACTGTAAAAGACTTATGATAAACTGTAGAATATGTATCCTTAGTTCGGCTATGATACTGCAGATCCACAACAAATGCAATTTATAGAAGAAGATCAGAAGATCTACAAAATTTTAAAGGAAGAGGCTTGGCAAAGATAAGTTGAATTTCGTAATCTCTAATATGCTGAGCCTATTGGTAAGAAGAATTATAGATTTGGTTTGTACAGTGCCAGCACATCGACCCATAAATTTAAAAAGGGGAGAATGCTTAATGATTTTCTTGGAACCAAGCAGTCTAGGCCAAATACTAACTAGATCAATGATAGAAGAGGAGAAATGACACATTTTTAAAATGAGCCCATGTTTATTAAGTAGCTGAGGTCTCCGAATGATTAAGATTAAAAGTAATAGAATCCAGAAGATATATTCGAGCTGTGGGGTACTATTAATGCTAATTTTTCTCATATTTTGAACCCTTAAAAATTTGGAGATTTCTTAACTGTCAACAAAAAGGAGGAATTATTGGTTAAAACAATGATATTTGAAAGGTATCCTGTCCTAAGAGAGAATAATGTTTCGATTAAGGTAGCTAAGTTAATTCCTCCTATAAGTAAGGCAAAACAACTTATGATCAGTCAAACAGAAAGCGAAGAAGATTAGGATCTCTTAATTCCTGAATTTAATGCATTGCTTTATGGAAGTAACTGTCCACTGTCCAAGTGTTGTAAACTATCTCTCTGCATTAATCTGAACTTGGAATGTGGAACTTCAAAAATAATGTGTATGGAGAGACTATGTCAGTTTAATCCTCAATAGCAATTCTTGATTCCTTCAGAGATCTTAGTTTAGTTTTATGACGAGAAGTTAATAGACAAAAATGTAGAGATATAGATGAGAAGAGATTTGGTTGTCTCAGGAAAATCAAATAAGAAGGATGAGTTGATAAAATAAAAAGAAATGATAACTTAGGAATTAAAAAGAAATGTAGTTGCTGGTTCATTCAAATTTAAATCACTGAGAAATGTAGTATCTCGAGGCGGCAGACCCTCTGCTTCTAGGCCAAAGCCTAATCCGAATAAACCTGACTTCCTTGATGATTAGACCACCGAAAATGATTACGAGCTTATTGATCTTTAGAGTGACATAAATCAAGATAGTCTTACAATTGATAGAGACGATGTTCATCATTAAAAAATAAAGAAAAATAAGACTTAAGCAGTTGCTAGGAATAACCAAACTGGTGGTACAGAGGAATAGTATGAAGATAGTATGTTTAGAGGTGAGGAAAAAAATGCTTAAGTTTTAAGCCCTGGAGATGATGAGGATGGTGAGATTGAATATATCGATGTAAGCTATCCCATCATGCATTCAAATGAGGATGTCTGATCATAAATTTAATAGATATTTTCAACTCAAATCGCTATAATACATGACTAAAGTTATTATAAACTCTAAAATAAGAATATTTGGCATAATGGGGTTTTGGGGTTTTGGGGTTTTGGGG